ACTGCTACTGCTACTGCTACTGCTACTGCTACTGCTACTGCTACTGCTACTGCTGCTGCTGCTGCAACTGCTACTGCTACTGCTACTGCTACTGCTACTGCTACTGCTACTACTACGACTTCTACTGCTACTATTGCTACGATGTATAGCTTGCAAGCCGCATTCATTGAGGCGGCTCCGGCTGCTGGGGACGGCCAATCTGTCTTTGAAAGCAAGCCTGCAGAAAGGCCAGTTTGTTCCTTGCCATACCTGCCCCACTTTGTGAGTTGACTTGTCCGGCCAGTAAAGCAGAGACGTCCTACTCCAAAGCTGCTGCGGCCGCGGATCAGTCGCAGTCGGCCCTCGCCACAGCTTGATGAAATTCGATGAACGTGAACCCGACTGGAACTATTCTGGCTTCAGGTATTTGAGAGTCAACCGAAGCAGTCCGCTGCTATGGCCAGGAACTCGTGGTGGCAGTCGACCGAGGTTTCCATTCAAGATAGCTGAGCAGGTCAGCCACAATGACAAGACCTCCGCGCAGGGAACGGACCAGTCTGTCTTTGAGAGCCAGCCGGCGCAGAGCAAGGTCTCTTGGCAACTGCAGAGGGCTGTGACGGGCTTTGGCTATGGAATGCGAGACTGCGAGAATGTGAGAGAAAAGTTTCAGGCTGAAATCGGATACGGCCGAAATGCTGCTGCCTCTGACCAGGCTCCGGGTCCCGTGTGCTCGCAAAATACCAACCCTAAACCCTAAATCCAAAGCCCCCCAAACGCCGTGATTTCCTTGTCTGCAGGAGCAATCCGTCTTCGAGAGCAAGCCTGCCGAGAGCAAGGCCGCAGACGTGCACGCAGACTCGATCAAGTTCCGGCGGAATAAGAATAAGAAAAATAATGATCATGATAATGAGCTCCTCCTCCTCCTCCTACTACTACTACTACTACTACTACCACTACTACCACTACTACTACTACTACTACTACCACCACCACCACCACCACCACCACCGCTACTGCTGATACCGTTCATTGATAACAACAATATTACTAGTAGCAAGAAGAAGGAAGAACAACCATCATAAAGAAGTGATGCGCTATGTTTGGACGCAGGCTCATTACAAGGCCGGTGCTGCAGTCGATGAGGACGAGTCGGAGTACGAAACGGATGAAGAAGGCCGATGATTGAGAACTTGTTCTGGAGAACTCTGCTCCGTGTTGATGCTCTTGGAGGATGAGACATCCGCAGTGGTTGAGCCAGGCCGTGAACTAAGATTCTGGAATCCTGGCTAAGCTTCAGAGTGAACCGTCCCCTTCTCTTGCAAAGGTGGGGCTGCAATGAGAGCACAGCTGTGCGATGCCGCTCAGAGCCTGGCCCAACAGAACGAACAACTTTGCAGGCGAAAACTTCTGCTGTTCTAACAGCGGAGCGGTCTCGCATTCTGCACCCTTGCCGGATGGCCAGCCCAAAACTGCACCCAAAAGTTTTAGGCTTTAGGGTTAGCAGCACCCAAAAGTTCTGGACACCGCCTGAAGTCGCACCCAAAACTTCGCCCTGGCTTGCTGAATCGTTTTGGGCCTGACCCCGGCATCTGGCGGTTCTGCGCAATTCTGCGCAACTGCACGAACATGACTTGATGATGGCTTTTCCAAACGTATCGAAGTCTCTGATCTAACCTAACATCAGACTAAGGCGCTGGGATGGTGTGCACTTCTCCCTTCGCGGCTGTTGTTCACTGAGTTTAATGCTGTCCTCTTATGTCCCACAGAGGTGTGGGAACTTGAGGAAACGTAATTTTGCAAGCTCTTTCAACCACTCGATTGAACGCACGCCTGTGCAATTGACAGGGGCTTTTGATGCGACAGTAGAACTAGTGCTGTGCTTCAAGCCTCAAGCTCCTGTCAGCACTTGTAGAGACATAGACATAGCGCGCACAGCGGCCAACTGTGGGAAAACAAGAACGCAAGCTCAAAGGGCTCGTGGCTCTCGCATCTTTCGCGGATGCTTCCGCACGAGCGATCCCCTTAGCTTCCTGGGTTCAAGCTTAGCTGCCTGTGGAATGCGGCAATGGCATCGCAGGCCACCACAGTCTGACGTGACCGTGATACCGACTTGTAGGCAGTGCAAGGTAAGGGTCAAGGTTTTGCGTTCGCCTGTCAGAGACTGTTAGAGGGCACGCCGTCAGGCTCGCTTGAGGAAGGGCAAAGGTCCGAAGAGCCCACCGGAAATTGATGTAGACCTGCCGGCGGAGACCTCAGTGCCGGGTGCCAGCCTCTGGTCTTTCGAGGAGTGCGTTCGGAGATTTGGCCAGGAATCAGCTGCAGTGGCAAGAATAGCAGCAGGGCTGCCCACTCCCAGGCGCTAACTTTTGAAAGCCGTTAGGCTTGGAAGAATACCTAGCAGCTGGACAGGTCGACGTTGGGATCGCCGCTGATATCCCACGCCACGTACAAGAGGCCTCCCCTCGCCTTCTGCGACTCTTCCAAGCCCGGCCTTCTTCAGCAAAAGCAAGCAAGCAAAGAGAGCACGGGCGATGGGCGAGCCGTGGGCCGCCAGGAATACTTATCATAAGGATCCTACTATTTAGGATACTATATTAGGGTACCTTATTTTGGGGTCCTAGTGAATGAGACGACTCACAAATAGCAATTGCTTCCACGAAGGATGGACGCAGCTGCTGAGGTGGTCAGGTGGAGCTTTCTCGTAAGTCAAGGCTGCACGAGGGACACCTAGACTCCTAGACGCCCTTGAACTTGCACAATCGCGCAAACGAGGCCTGCCAAGCTTGAAACTGTTTTTTGGTACGGATCTCTGCCCAGTGTTTTGCACTGATAGCGACAGAAAGGGAAACGAGTGTGACATCATCTCTTCGGCTTCGGTTTCTGATCGAACTGTTGCACCGGCCTAGCTCCGAACGTGATTGCATCACAGGTCGGGCGTGGGGGATCTTGCAGCCGGTCCACGAAGGCACATTTCTTTGTCCCAGGCGCGGGCTTTTCGCAAGCTTCTTGCAGGAGCCCTCCGGTAAGTTCTGGCCTTGCCAGGTGGAACTGGGGTCATGGCTCTGCTGCATGGCTCCCGTGTTCATCTTGTTCACGACGTACGGATCAGTTGGACACTTAACTTTCAGCATTGATGCTGAAAGCTGTTGTCCTGACAGCTCAACCCTGCAATGCTGCTTTCGAGGTTCTGGTGTCCACTCTGTTCTGGACATACCTTGCAGAGCTGATTTGCGCATGCTTGACCCTTGTCACCTCGCTCTGGATTGGCAATCTTTCCATTGCCACCTTGCGGGGGATTCAGCAATTGAGAGAGGCGCCCTCGTTGTCAGAGCCACAGGGAGAGCTGGTGAGAGTGGATGCGGGAGGCCAGCAGCATCGACTGGCATGAACGTTTGCGTGAGATCCCGGAGGAGGACTGCCGGTTCGCTGGTTCCCACAGGATTTCCACAAGTCTCGGGGAAGGCTCTCAGGCCGTTGCGAGTTGCGTGTTTGCACGCAGGAAAGGAGCGGCGTGAAGCACATCATTCTGCTGCCAAACTATATGGAAAGTGAAAAGATGTTGAAGGAGCCGGGTAGCTTTGCACATGCTGAGACATGCCAACGGTGCAACTGCATGACCCGAGGAGACACTCGACTACCTTGCCCGCTCAAAGTTAGCGAAGAACTGTTTGCATGTTGTTTTGGGCATGGAGGCCACTGGACACATGACACCATGTTTCTGCGTGACTGGACAGCCTAAAACCCTAGGCGCCAAGCCCTAAAGAGTTGTCTCCTGACAGGGCCGCGAAGGTCAGCCGGCCCGTGCCAAAGCGGGAAGGATCATCGCTGAGAAGGAGGGAAGCTGAGAAGCTCCACCGCTGTTGCACATGGGAGTCTGTCTAAGAGCCTGCTCCTTTACATGTGCCAGAAGCACCTTTTCGCTGACATCTTTGCCACCTACCACCCGCAGGCTCCAAAAATTGCGCAATCGAAGGACTTTGGAGAGCGGTAGGGAGCTGGATCCGCCCTGCTGCCCCCTGGGACAAGCTGGAGAGTAGTACCCTTTTGGGGGAGTCGAGACCCGACCGTGAAGTTGATAGCTATGCTTCCGGGCATCCTTGCCACGGGGTTCGTGCAGCTTCAACAAGGTTTTGTGGCAGTGGGGCGTGATACTTGGTATTGCAAGCATGCTCAATTTGTTCGGGATGATGAGGTTGCTGTCGCCCCCGTCTAGCAGGATTAAAACGTTCATGTGACGACCATAGCACCGTAAATGCCCATACGTCCCGTTGCGCTGTCAAACTCTGCCAAACATGTCTGAAACAGCATGAGTTTCACATTCCATATGCTATGCAGACACGCTTGGCGCAGAAGTGGAGTGCATTGATGTGCCGGGCAGGGTCTTCCTGGAGAAGTTGCTGGCAAGTCTTCCAACACGCAGTGGGCTTTCCGTGAGGCCAACGTGGGTGGATAGGGCCTTTTCATGGCATCACTTGGTGTACGCCTCGATGTCATAGGCACTGCGAAGATACGGGGCATCGCTGTCCAAGCGAGACCTGCAGAAAGCCAAGCTGTTTGCACGCCTTGTTTGATGACGGCCCGAAGTTTCTAAGCCCTGCGCCGGCTTAGGTCGAAAGTCTTCCTCACTGTGGCTGATGCTGACACACTGTGCCTGGCCTAATCAAACATAGACTTAGGAGCTCAGAAGAAAGAGTCCGAGGATTCTCGTGCTCTGAGGCTCCATCCCAACTACCTCAGCGCCATGACATACCAAGGCCGGCTTCTGATCGGCCCTGGCCTGAGTCAGTTAGTGGCAGATACCGCTGAGGACTCATGATGGACAAGGAGGAAAGGTCCTGGACCATCTGGCAGCCCCCTGTCATGCTGGTCAAGCCGGCTCGTTTGCTGAAGCATCGCAGTCTCCAGATACAAGCTTGCAATCTTTCCAGCTGCGCAATTTGTTCAACGTGCCGGCCGTGACTCGGGCAACAGCCCACGGAACGTCACTGAGCAAGCAATTTACTGTAACGGCTTGCTCAGAAACCATGGTCGAGGTCCCCAACAATACCTCCCACAAAATGAGTATGATCCATGTTATGAAGAACCTAAGCAAAAAAGGAGTTGCTTCATCAGGTCCCACTTTGCTATGGTACTGACATTTGTCTCCTGCTTCTCGTCTCCGCAACTCAGGCTCATCTTTGAGTTGTCGGCTTTAGCATGGCAGCGCATCTTTCCGGCCTTTGCCTATTCCTCGCCGAGCTGCCATGCTTAAATGCAAAGAGTCGAAGTGTTTCTGACATGCGCTTGGACCTGGGCATGCCCCCTGTCAGGTATTCGATGACACTTGCATTAGCCTCCCATCCTGAAGTGGATGGCTGGGATGTGGATGTCATTGCGGAGGACCGACGTCCGTGCGAAGGTCATGGTTTTCTCCACTAGGCAGCAAGTGGTGACAAGTGAATGTGGATGGCAAAACCGATCCGTAGTGCCCAGCCAAGAGTAAGCCGTCCAGGATCACCACATGTTCTGCAAGTGCTTCTTTGCAGCCCTTTGGGAGCTGTCGCACGCCAAGAAGGACGAAGCAGCGCTTGCATCATTGGTCCTCTTTTCCCAGCCCTGGCGGCCGACTCATGGCCGCCACCACATGCCTGGCCCGCAGGAGCATGCAAAAGTCTCGAACGGCAACGATGCAAACCCAGTTCAGATCGTCCCTCAAGTCAAGGCTCCCCGCCAAGGGATACAAAGCGATGCGGAAGCTCCTGCCTGGCAGGTTCAACCCGTGTTTTTGCCAGTCCGTGGCACAGAATGAGACAGCCAAGCCGCTTCGCCTGCGAATTTCGCGCCGGTTGCACCGAGGCTGTTTCATATTTGGCCGAATCGCCAGATGGTTACATGGCGTCTCTCAAAGCCCGCTTCCAACAGGCTTGTCGGTCAGACATCTACTGGGTACCACCTGCCTGACTGCTCGAAGTTTCAGCGTTGCTTTGGCTGCAGGCCAGACGGCACATGCAAGGACTGGTTGAAATCGGCTATGCGTCTTGGCTTCATGGCACAGACATATCACCCGGCCTCAGAGTACCTTGTGCTGTGTTGTAGGCTGTTGTATTGCAACGGGGTATGCTTTCATAAGATGCGATCTGATATGACTGATATGACATCATGTTACATTCTTTCCAGGCACAGTGAGACTTGCGTGTGGGCTGAGGTCTGCTTGCAATGGGCACGCCTGTCCATGAGTATTGGTGCCAAGAACATT